CTTATCATCGATTTATTATGAGTAGATCAATTTTTTTTTGAATTGGAAGAGTGATCAAATTACATCAAACTCTGGGGATAGGGAGGGCCTTGTCTATCTATAGACAGCAAGTCTAGCACATCTATGTGCACAGATGCAAACAAAGAAAGATCATAACGTTGTATCCCAAGGCTAAGTTTCGCTTTATCTGCAACTGCATTAGTTTCTCGTGGGATCCAATGAACATGTGTAGCCCAACTTTTCCTTCGTAACATGTGGATAGCAAAGGGCAATGCTCGGCAGAATCATTTTCGTTGTTCATTAAGTTCACGGCCTAGAGGGAGTTTGATTGAATGATTACCTTCTCATGGCCTTGATCCCAAGCACTTAGCCCGATGAAGATTCCCCAAAGTTAAGTTTGGAGCGAGGAGCAGCAACCAATGCGACGTGTAAAACCAAGCATTCGGTTCCCTTCACTATCACGAATGGATCCACCGACAGCGATACCCGGTGGGATGCAGCAAAAACACCATCAGCGTTAACACACACCCAACCATGGTCTGGTTTCTCCCATTGAAACAGTTACGTAAGTTTCTGGGGGCCTGCTACAAGCGACATAGGATGGTTTTGAGAGCATCGTGACCAGGGGTGGACCTCCATAGAGCCTGGGGTATCCCAAGCAATCCCTCCACAAGTGTCACCCCTAATCCAAGTGTTACTCCTCAAAAGTGCCATCCTGGGACTCTTGCAACCCCTAATGAAGGCTTCTGGGTCCGCCTCTGATCATGACCATGCTAAAGCAACTTGAAAGGCTGCAGCAGTGGACATACAGTTCAAAGAAAAGAATCTGCTATGCCATTCCAAAGGAATCCACGCGAATATTATTTAGAATCCAACCCTACAAGTTCAAAGAAAAGAATTTGCTATGCCATTCCAAATGAATTAAAGATGCCCATAATTATTTCATTTCAGGCAGTCACGTAGTGCATGTAAGATGCTTTTTGAATCACCACAAAAAGGGCATTTGGCATCAGTGACAATCCGTCTTTTAGAGCGTTTCAAATTAGTCATCAGTTTCCCGTGTAGAGCAGTCCAAAGGAAGACTCGAACACGCTGCGGAACCTGCAGTTTCCAAATTATCCCCCGGCATGTATCACTCGGAGCACATGATTGTTGCGTTAAGGTTCATAAGCGAAAGTAACATTGAACCTATGATCCGAGGAATGTCTCCAAATGCAAATATCATCTTTATCATCAGCAACAGGAGGCAAAATACCAAGGATGTGATTAATGGCAGCGCCATCAAGAATTGAGGAAAGAGTAGATGTATCCCAAGTGCCACTGTGGGTTACAAAATCAACTACGTTGTGGTGAGAAACTTCATTTTCAGGTAGGAGCAGATAATGATTTAGAGGACCTAAGTTCGACACCCAAACTTCCTCCCAGAGGTTGAATCTCAATTAATGGGGAGAAGGCTGGCTTGTTATCAGAGTGACCCTAGATGAATCGTCGTATGATCCTTTCAATTTCCTTGTAAACTCCGATTGGAAACATGGATGTTTGCGTGAAGTAGATAAGGATTGAAACGAGGACGGACTTAACCAAAATAATACGGCCAGCAGTTGAAAGGGACCGAGTAGCCCAGCCTTCTAATGAGGATTGCATACGCACAAGGATAAATTCATAATTAGCACGAGTGACACGGCCATGTTGAACCGTAGTGCCCAAATATTTGACCATTTCGTGTACTTGTTGGAAACCCAGTTTATCACAGATTGCATCCTTCAATCCTTGGCTTTGTTAGAAATAAAACACTCACACAAACAACTTTTATTGAAACTCAAACAAATATTACAAGAGCACTCTCACTCAAAACCAAGAACTACAACTCACTCTTATAAGACTTTGTTTCTTCACTCACTTAGAAGCTCTTAATTTTTCTTGATACTTAAAACTAAAATGGGGAGGGGTATTTATACTACTCAAGAACAATCCTACACCACACAATTAAACTAATTTAAACCATTACAAATTCAACAAATACCTAACTCTCACCTAACTAAATTGATGTAAGTAATGTCATCATTACTTAAATGATGTAAGCAATGACATCAATTTAGTTTGGATTTAGGTTTAGGCTCCCATAATAGATCAAATTGATGATCCAACATGCTTGTGTAGGAAGGAAAAAAAAAGATGATTGTTTTTTATTTTATTAACGCGATGCCCGGAATAGTGTCCAAAGCAAGATAGGATAAAGGACATCCGCATTTAGAATATCCGCTCTACTGTACAAAACTATTTTATCTGCAAAGAACGAATGAGAATGAGGTTGTCCATTACGGACAAAGTGAAATCCTTCCCAAATGTTCTTATTAACTGAATTAGAAATGTTGTGACTCGTTCATTCCATAGCTAAAACAAAAAGGTACGGTGAGAGGGGGTCACCTTGACAAACTCTCCGTTTAGGATGGAAAGGCTTAGTAAGTTCACCATTTCACCAGAACTTGAATGGTCGAGAGGTGACACAGTGCATAATAAGGCGGATTAGATTGCGGGGGAGACCAGCATCACATAGAGTATCCTGAATAAAATCCCAGCGCAATCTATCAAATGCCTTTTCGAGATCAACTTTAATTGTCATCCACTCTTTTCCACCCTTACAAGAATGCATTGAGTGAATAGAGTATCCTGAATAAAATCCCAGCGCAATCTATCACAAAGCGTTGAAGCTAATGTTTCTGACAACACAGCAAATGCTACGTCCTGGCTAGCTACCCCAATTGAGGTTTGGCTGCTTCCAAAGGTAAGGCCAAATCTATAGACACCCATAAGAGTGGCAACAGTAAGAATGCTATTAACGTGAAAAAGTAGGTTGCAACTCCTTTAACGAATCAGACTCGAGCTTCACCTCTGCCATCACGCCGCTCCCCAACCATCCCTAAGCGTGGAACCAACTCAGTGAATGCAAAGCAACATGTCCTCTTAGATAAATCCAAGCACTCTTCCGTGGTTATTTCGGAGAACTCGAACCCCAACATTCCGATTTCTAACGATGGTGCAGTACCCATGGATGTATCGGTTGCCACGAGCCTGCCAAAGAGGCCACCGGACCCCAGACAGTCTGTTGAACCTCCTCTCCCACAATCGGATATGATTTTAGACCATATTGTACATGATGGCATGGTTGATGGTTCCACTAGTACCGAATTTGCAGAGGAGCAGACTGCTCCTATGTCGGATTGAGCTGTTGCTCACTTTCTTCACTTCCTTTCCAATGAATTGAAAGTCTTTTGTTGGAATGTAGCCATTCTCGCTTTCTCACCGTTGTTCGTCAGTATTTTCGTTATCAAAAACCCGATGTTATTGTTTTTGTTGAGCCCCTGGGTCAGCGGTTCCAAGGCTGACGCTTAATTGCTGTTTTAGGCTTCACTTACTCGCAGCAAGTTGAAGCTGTGGGTTTCTCAGGAGGTATCTGGTTATACCCGTATGATACTGTTTCTGTAGATAACCTCTTTAATCAATTTCAGCTTATTCACTGTCGTATCGCTTACAAAAAATACACTTTAGTTATGCTTGGCTGTTCATGCTAGTCCGAATGCAACAGAACGGAAGATTTTTTTATCCCACCTACGCCACCTTGTTCATGACATTCGTCAACCGTGGTTTATTATTGGGGACTTTAATTGTACCTTAACCTCTGCGGATCGAAAAGGGGAGCCTTGCAAAGATTTTCAGAACTTTTTTATGGATGTTGATGTTCGAGATGTGGGCCTCCGTGTACTTGGATCTGAAGGTTTACGTATGCACGGCTTGATCGTGTTCTTTGTACCAGTTATTGGGATGAGCTTTTCCCCGATGTTAGCCTTTATCACCTTCTCCGTGTTTAATCTGATCAGCGCTTAATTTCGCTTCGAATCACTTTACGCTAACAAAATTAATAATTTCTAATTTCGTACTTTTAAAGTTTATTTTTCCTTTCTCGATAAAAAAAACTCTCTCAATCTATTTTACTGTCATAAAATTTTAGCTGTACTTGAAGGCCATCAGTGGCATATACTAGACTACCTATACATGCTCCAATAATTAGAATACTCCTTTTATTTTGATTTATCGATCATAATTAGTTGAGGTATATCACTACATAGTTTTCTTAAGACAGATTTTTAACCACTTCTCGAGTTCGTTGGTCGTCTGTCTCCTAGGATACAACAACTAATGATCAGCTACAATAGCACATCTGAACATATCACGAACAATCCTTGTCCTCGACTATCACCGAAAAAACTATCGAAGAGAACTTTTTCAAGATAAGAGAAGTTATTGAAAAACTGAGTTGTGAGATATGAAAAAACTAAAAAGTTTACTCACTATTTATAAGGGATTTTCAAGAGAAATTCAATCCAACTAATTATCTTTTAATATTTAATATTAAACAGATAATAATATCTTTTAATTTGAAATATTCAAAAGATAAAACTCCTTTTATCATTCAAACTTCAATATGTATTATTTTAATTTAAAATACACAAAAGTATATAATTATCATTAATATTCAAACTTAAAAAGGTAACAAATACAATTTTAAGTTGACATATTCAAAGAGTAATTTTCCTACTAATATTTAAATTAAATAATATATTTAATTTGCAAGGGTCAAAAGGTAAACTCATTTTACTAATTAAACTTAAACATATATTATTCTAATTTGAAATATATAAAAGTATATAATTATCTTTTAATATTCAAAATTAAAAGAATAACAAATACCTTTTTTAACTTAATAATTATCCTACTAATATTCAAATTAAAAATTATATTTTAATTTACAATATTCAAAATGATTATAAATTTAATATAAATATTAAATCTATCAAAAAGTTAAAGGAAGACATTGCCCAAGTGGAAACTTCGGGGAGAGGGCGAGCTGCGAAGCTCGAGTTCGAGCTTGAGCTTGCTATTGCTTCGGTCACGGTGAATCGAGTGTAAGCATCGAAAGAAAAATACAGCAAGGAATCAAATGTTTTAAGAACATAAAACAAACCTACTTCGCCTTGACCACTAGGATATGCATTTCATACAAAGAGTCCATTTGTCTCTTTTATTCGACAGAACCAAACATGACCCAGAAAAACATAGAAAAGAACCAGATTCAGAAACAACACTGCAGGACAAATACCACATTCAGACCATAATCTTTTTGTTCTTAGGCCTCACCAACGGAAAACAGTGGGCTTGTAGTCAAATATAATGACCTTGTCCGAATGGGAGAGAAACAAGTTTGCAAACTCGTCATGCGCAGGATGAGCGTTGTATTCTGCAATCCCCTCGGCACTCTCAAATGTGGATTCAAACACGTGTGTAAAACCTTGATTCAAGCTCTCGACACTAACGTCTTTGCCCCTGCCATGGAAATGACCTTAACTTTAGACCAACCAAGAGTTTCAAAGTAAAACCACAGATCCATCATCAATATGGACCACAGCTATGGCTGCACTGGATCTGAAACTTAAATGATGAAAAAGGAAAAAGAAAAACAGTGAGCGACAAGGGATAGTATGATACCAGTGGAAAGTTTTCATGGGTGGAATGAGGTTGACGAGATTGGCATATGCTTTGATGAGTTCTTCAATCTTCTCTGGTGTGGTTTCATCTTTGAACTTCGCCAGAACAATGTGCTTCACAACTCCTTTCGCTTCCTCCATCCTTCCTTTTCTGGTGTTGATTGATTGTCTTATCTTTTTCTTTCTCTGTAATCGGTTTAGGGCCAAGTATTTGAAGTGGGGTTCGAAATCAAGAGGTAAACGACAAATATTCACGGAAATATGAGTAAGTTTATTTTAACCATTGAAGTTGAAAAAGTAAAGAAACAATCATTAATTTTATTATTTTATAATAAAACCACCAGTCGACTGTGAATAACTATTATCCTGGTAATAGAAGACTGATGTGACACGGTAGACTGATTTTCTGAGTATCATTTAATCACACGAAACGAGAGTTAACGACCTTCGACACAATCTTCTTTCGAATCTCAGATATGGGGACATGGTGCCATCACCCCCATCAACCATTGCTTTGTTGACTCATTAACCCCCCATATCACATCACAAACTGAGAGTTTTGATGATTGTGAATAGTGATGACCGGGTGTTGGTGCATATGGTGGAAGGGATGAATATTGGCTTGGCGGGGACAGTGGCTGCAGAAAACACCAGAAGTCAGCCAATCCCCATGCATGTGTTTGTTCACTTTATTTGTGAGAGAAGCTTCCGCGATTGCCGACAAGTTTAGGGTGTTACCTCCGTACTTTAATGTGACAAGAATAATTTACAGAATAATAAAGCAGTGGTGAGCGATCCAAATCATCTGGTATTTTGTTTTATTACACAATTTTAATTATATTTATAAAAAATCTTTTACTAAAGAGTGTTTTTGATTATTACATGACAACTGATAAATCAGTAAGAAAATAAATATCGTGATGATTTTTATGTGATCACTAAAAGGATTGCAAAGGTATGCGAAAATGTACCAAAAGCCATAATAATTGTGTCACAAGAACAGAGAAAACATGTGTCATAAGAGCAGAGAAAAGCATGTCACGAAAGCAAAATTTATTATTCAAAATTTATGAGGATAATTATAAATTTAATTAATGAACTTTAATATCTCATATTTTACTTTTACTTTTATTTTTTTTAATTTAACCACTAAACTTTATATATTGAATTTTTTTATCATTATATCGTTTTTCACTAACTCGGTACTAACATGTCATTTTTTATTTGTTTTTAAATCAGTTATTATTTTATTAACATTATTTTTTTTTTCATTGTCCACCACCATTTCCCTCTCATCTTCCCCACCTAGTGATCTTTTAGCTTTTATTCAGTGGAGCTGTAGAAACTGTTAACTAATTTTGTTTTAGTTGCATAGTTTGTTAAGTTTGTTAAGTTTTTTAATTTTCAGTTATTAAGTCGTTATAGTAGTCATTTGTATATAAATAGAACTTGTTTTATGTAATTGACATATACAGAGAATAAAGCATTATTCTGCCCAAATATTCTTTACATGGTATCAGTTTAGCCCAGGTCATTCTTGGGTCGTTTTCATTCTCACCAACCATTCCTTCAGCCCGTATTCCCTCCTCCTGTTTTGATCATTGTTTTGGAAATTTCCTTGCGCCGAAATGAATACTGCTGAAACCACCCCTATCTCCACCATGCTCGATTTCAACCATACCCTATTTTTGCATCCATCTGATACGCCGGGCGGCGTTCTTGTCTCTCATCAGCTGGTTGGTATCGACAATTACAACATATGGAGTTGTTCTATGAGAATCGCATTGCTGGCAAAGAACAAATTAGGTTTTGTGGATGTCACCTGCTGCAAAGAGGATTATGACGAGCTCTTGCATTCTCAATGGGAACGCTGTAACGCGTTCGTTCTTTCCTGTATTCTCAACACGGTGAGCAGTGATCTCTCGGCTGGAATCGTCTTTGCTTCAAGCGCTGCTCACGTCTAGACCGATTTGAAGGAGCGGTTCGACAAGGTAGATGGATCTAGGATTTTCTTCTTGCATCGTGAAATTGCCACTTTAAGTCAAGGTGATTCAACTGTATCGTCCTATTTTACGCGATTAAAATTGTTGTGGGATGAATATCAAGCCCTAGTTCCTCTTTCGGCTTGTAATTGCGAAGCGTCTCAACAAAATTCCAAGCATCTTACACAGCAGAGGTTGTTGCAATTCCTAATGGGTCTTAATGATACATATTCAGCTATTCGCAGTCAAGTCCTCCTTATGCAGCCTCTGCCGAACGTGAATCAAGCGTACTCCATGATCGTGCAAGAAGAGGCACAACGAGCTCAGTTGTTTGTTGCCTCGGGAGTCACTGCTATGTACTCCAATACGTCTGGAAATTCTGATCGAAGACGGTTTAATGGCATCTGTGATTTCTGTAAAATTAAAGGCCACAAACGTGATAATTGCTATCGCTTAATCGAATTTCCTTCTGATTTCAAGTTCACAAAAAAGAAGAATCCGTAGGCTACTCTTGCTACCAATCCCTCATTGCCTAAGTCTGATCATGACTCACAATCTGGTGATCTCAGTGCAGTTAAGTCTGCTCCAGTCTTCACATCAGCTCAGTATCACCAAATCCTTAAACTCTTGAATAAGACTTCATCGGTTAATGCAGCAGTTAACCTGGCAGGTACTGCTTTCAAATGCTCACCTACTTCTGCTGATTGTTTTTCTTGGATACTTGATTCAGGGGCTACAGACCATATGGTGTATGACATCCATTGTTTACAATCTCTTAATTCATGTGAGCCTAACTCTGTCCATTTGCCTATTGGTAAAACAGTTCCCATTACACATACTGGTAGCTTTCGTTTTAACTCTACTGATGTTATTCCAAATGTCTTATATATTCATGATTTCCATCATAATTTGTTGTCAGTATCAAAAATCACCAAAGACCTCAATTGCAGTATAATTTTTTACCCTCATTTTTGTATTTTACAGAATCTCTTCACTGGGAAGATGAGGGGGATTGGTAGGCAGGTTCGTGGTCTCTATGTGTTTAATTCAAAAGACCTTGTTTCTGGTTTGTCATCTCCAAATTTTAGTTCTGCTTTGTCTTTATCAGAATACAAAATTGATTCTGGTTGTATGTCTGTTTCTTCTCATAATAATACAATGTTTTGGCATGCACGTTTAGGGCATGCTACTCATGTTAAAATGCATAAGACCCCTTTTTTGAGTTCTTTTCCTTTGAATGATAACTCTGTTAAGCAGTGTTTTATTTGTCCTCTTGCAAAATAGTCAAGACTACCATTTCCTATTAGTTCATCTAGGTCACTTAAACCTTTTGATCTAATTCATATTGACTTGTGGGGTCCCTATAGAATCTCAACACATAGTGGTCATAGATCTTTCTTGACTATTGTAGATGATCATACTAGACTATCTTGGGTTTACTTGTTGAGACTTAAGAGTGATGCACTTCTATTTCTTAAACAATTCTTTACTCTTGTCAAAAATCATCATTCTACTTCAGTTAAATATGTTCGTAGTGATAATGGTGGTGAGTTTTTTAGTGATAATTGTTCTGAACTCTTTTCATCTCTTGGTATTATTCACCAAAGCTCCTGTGTTCATACACCCCAACAAAATGGAATTGCTGAACGCAAACACAAACATTTTTTAGAGATACCCCGTGCTCTTCGATTTCACTCTCATGTGCCTATTAAATTTTGGGGTGAGTGTGTTTTAACTGCCTGCTATATCATTAACAGGCTTACTACTCATGTTCTTAACTGGAAAAGTCCTTTTGAAATTTTCTATCACAAACAACCTAATCTTTCTCATATGAAAGTGTTTGGATGTCTTTGTTATGCCACCAAAGTTAACTATAAGGACAAATTTTCTCCAAAGGCTTCTCCTTCTATTTTTATGGGTTACTCATTAACTCAAAAGGGCTATGTTCTTTTTGATCTTCACACACGATCTTTTTTTGTCAATCGTGATGTGGTCTTTCATGAAATTATATTTCCTTTCTCGTTTCCATCAAACAAGCCTTCTCCTTTTTTCCTGCTCAGCCTCTTATTGATGATTCTGATTTTATTAATCTTGCAACTTCTGTACCATCTAATCCAATAAATTATGTCTTTCCTGCATCACCTCAAGTTTCAACTAGTTCACCAATTTACTCTCCTAGTCCATGTTCTAGTCCACTTGCTCCACCTGAAAATCAATGTCCACCTGAAAGTCAGTATCAACCTGAAAATCAGTGTCCACCTGAAAGTAGTGTCAACCTGAAAATCAGTGTCCACCTGAAAATCAGTATCCACCTCAGAGAAGGTCTACTAGGGTTGTCAAACCTCCTAATTGGTTACATGATTATGTTCAATCCTATCAGTCCTCATCTCTTCCAAGTAAGTATCTTATCTCCAATTTCATTTCTTATTCTCACTTACCTTCTAAAACTCAAAGTTTCTTATCTTCTACTTCTCATTTAAGTGAACCAAAAACTTATTCTGAAGCCATTACTAACCCTCTTTGGATCCAAGCCATGAAGGAAGAGGTTGAAGTATTGGAGTCAAACAACACTTGGTCTATAGTTATCCTGCCTTCAGGGAAAGTTCCAATAGGTTGCAAGTGGGTTTACAGAATCAAGTACAAGGCTAATGGAGATGTTGAGCATTTCAAAGCTTGCCTTGTTGCTAAAGGGTTTAATCAAAGAGAAGAAGATGACTTTGTGGATACTTTCTCTCCAGTTGCTAAACTGGTCACTGTTCGTACTGTCCTTGCTATTGCCTCAATCTTTTCCTGGCCTCTTTACCAAATGGATGTGTACAATGCGTTCTTACAAGGTGACCTAGTTGAGTAAGTGTATATGACGCTACCAGATGGTTTTTGAAGCCAGGGGGAGTCTAAGGTCTGTAGGCTGCATAAATCACTTTATGGACTAAAACAAGCCTCTAGGCAATGGAACTTGAAGTTAACAGAGGCCTTACTCACAGCCGGATACATGCAAAGAAAATATGATTATTCAATGTTCACAAAGCATCAAGGTAGTAATATAGTTGTTTTGTTGGTATATGTTGATGATCTTTTAATCACTGGCAGTAGTGAAGCATTGATAGCAGAACTAAAGCATATTTTAAATAAGAACTTCAAAATGAAGGATCTTGGAGAGTTGAAATACTTTCTAGGATTAGAGGTTCTAAGGTCA